GGGGGGGGGGAATTTTATTAGCTAAAAGCCTAGTAAGTAATAAGTTTAAACTATAAACTTATATCCTAAGACCCCTAGACCTATACATATAAAGAGCATGAGATACAACGAAACCAAATCGCATAACATGATAATTCCCATTATTTAAATAATAACTTAATATCTCTAATCATAATCACACATGTCAAGGAATAATCAATAACATTTAAATTAAATTCATATACTAAAATTATATGCTCACAAATACGATGTCACAAGCGCAATGCATAAAACCGAAAATCACACAATGCTATGGAGTCCATTGATATGTGCTAGCAACACTATATCGGACGTAATCACAGTACTAACCCTATTGCGTAGAGGTCCACTAAATACCCCGAAGGGTTCATTGAATACCCAAAGTTTTAAGCTTAGGTCCACTTACTCCACAACCACAAGCACATACACATATCAAACAAGTTTAGAACATGTCCAAAATAATATTAGAATATTATCCCATTTAATATTCTCATTAATCAGTCACATGGACAATTCAAGTTCATACTAATATCCATATACACAACTTATATACTACATAGAACTTCATATTGAAAGAAATGGAAGTACATTGCATGAATGGTAATTAGTTCGTGAATAGTATTCAGGAACAGTATTTGTAAACAATAATTGTGAACAGTAATCCTTAAACAGTACCATGTAAATAATAACTCGTGAAACAGTTCCAGCAAGATCCTTTAATCCATAAACTTCACACTAAATCAAACATAAAGAAAAGGAATAATTCACTGTTCTTTCCCATATAAGCCCCAAAAATTGACATGTTCTTAACAAAATCTTAATACCTAAAGATCTATTAAACTAAAGCTTTTGGGTCAAATTTCACTAATTTAAACTAATTTTTAGTTTATTGAAATAGATCTATAATCTACCCAAAGAAACTCTACCTCAAATTTATAATCAAAGCTCATACTTACCAAAAAACTTTAATCCCAAATTCATAACTTAAAACTTGTACTTACCTGTGAAAATCCAAGCATAAAGTAGTAAAATTACAAGAAATTTTCAGTTAGAGAGTATAGATTTAGCACCACACCAAGCTGGAAGGAGAAAGAAAGGTGCAAACGGCAAAAAGGAAGGATACAAATGAGTGGTGGGGGTTTGGGAGCCTTCTAGAGGTTTATCCAATACCAGTCGAAAAATCCTTGCTTGGTGTAATGCCATGTGGAAAAAAATTGGAATAATTGAGTTAAGGTCATTCAACTCCTATTAAGTTCTACTTAAAACCCCCAAACTTTAAATCCAATCAATTTAATCCCTAAAATTATAAACTAAAGGACTCTAATTTTTAATTTACTCACTAAGGTATATGGGGTGTTACAAAACCTCTATGAAATAGATTGGAAAACAAATCTTAATGCCTTTAAAAGTCTTCAAGAGTCAAGTTCCAAGAAAATTTGTCACCTTTTTTTACTTAAATTTTTTGTATTTTGATTTGATCATATTCCAATATTAATATTATGATGATCATATATATTACCCTTTCCAACATGCTTATGAATATGAAAAAGTCAATATCTACGACACTAAAGGAGATTAAAGATATCAAATACAAGTTAAAATTATGTACCTAATTATATTATCAATATTCTTGTGTAGCAACTAAACCAAAATCACATAATCAATCTTTCTAATTTTGCACCGTGTCATATTATAAGATCACAAATCAAGAAACAAAATTCAAAATTTATATTATTTCCAAAGCTAACCATTCTTCTAGACCTTATAATCGCAGGGCTCACAATTGCCTCTAAAATTTTATTGGCTACACCTTGCAACAAAAATTGCAATGAAGACATGCCACTTACTTTTGGAAGAAAGGCAAGAAAAGGATTCACTAACGATCCTCTCCTTCCACTACATTTTTTTCC